AATCAAGTAAATTTTTCTCTCTCTATCACTTTTTCACTTTTGTAAATCCAATTTTGATTACTTTTGTTACGTATGTGCTTTGTTGGAGAATTTCTGGATGGATTTTGCTTAATTTCTAAAAAAGACTATTTCTTTAAAAAGTATCTTTCCATCAATCCTATCTCAATTTGGAAGTCATAAAGAAATCGATCGATTCTCTATCAATTTTTATCTCAATTTGGAAGTCTTTGTTGTTTTTCACTATCAAAKGGTGAGAACAATAGTTTATTTGACAAACTCCAGTTTTGCTTCTCCTTCATTCTGTTTTTTTTTTGTCTATATGAGTAATGTTTCGTGGTATTCTAAAATCTACAAAAAATGAGAAGTAGAAGATGGAGTCTCAATGCAATAGATTTCATATGTTGAATTATGTTTGCTTTAGGTGATTTTTGATAGTCGGATTCAAAAGATTACGGCTTTCAAGGTTATGATGGTGGTGAAGAAGAGAGTGATGCAGAGGAAGCGTTTGGTTTTGAAATTAGCTCATCTCCCAGAACTGATCTCAACTTCTGAAAGTAACCTTCTCATGGATAYGATGTCGTRKATACGGATCGATAGACAAAATGGGATGGATCGTATCCAACCTTCTCGTGGATACGGATCGGTGGACAGAATTGATGGATTGTATCCAAGATGTAGTATCCATGACAATAGATCAAAGATGCAAAATCTACATCATAATGTTCATGATCATATAGCAAGTATTCATTTGGGTGAAAATGTATGTTTTGTGATATTTTAATCGTAAAAAGTTGTTTAGTTCTCCTTGCAATTTTATAAATTTGGTCTATTGTTTGCTCGAGAAAATTTGGTTGACATCTTGGATTTGAACAAAAGTACCCATAAAACATAAAAGACATGTTCTGACCATATTTGCATTGTTCATAATGTTAGACATGGCTTGGATTCGAACAAGTTAAATATGACATAGGAAAGATATAAATTGACAATATTTCGTTGTCCATATGGTTGACACCGCTTGGATTCAAACCAATCCAAGTTAAMYTTCAYCTGTAAAAAAATGKGGATTTATATAGATAATTAGTGGCTGRAATCCATTAACATCAAACTTATTTGCTGAAATTYCAACCAAGTAATCAATAGATTTTATAAATTATATGAGTAAACTCATAAGAATCTGAAAATCACACATCCACAAACTATGACCATCTTATATTATCCATATGGATATGTACTTTATAAATAACATCAAACTCATAAAAATTTTAAAATCACATATTCACAATAAATAAACGATTCCGACCATATTGACCATATAGAAAAACAATGACCATATTACGTTGTCCATATGGTTAACATATATTGGAGTTCGACCAATCCAAGTTGAATTTCACTTTTAAAGAGAATGTGGATTTATCACAGATAATTTGTGGCTTCTCAAAGAGAAACAAACTAATAAACTTCCTGCAAATTCACCTAATCTAACTTCAGTATTTTAATTGTTGAACCAATCAATGAGAGATTAAACATGTTAAAAGCAAACTCTGTCTCCAAATTTCACGAAAAAAACAAATAACCATCATAACAACTAAAAAAACTATAAAACTAGCTTTGATCACCAAAGTAGGAAAAAGGAAGCCTTCTGACTGTGTTTTTTTCTAGAAAATAATTAACCATACAAGCACAAATCGAAGAAGAGGGATTTTTTAAAACTCACAAATTACATTGAGATAATCAAGAATCTCTCCAACGAGATTCGAAATTGCCAAAAAAATTATGAAGGATCAAACTAAGACTTCAAAAGACCAGTTGAAACATAGAGATAACAAAAGGTTTTATTGGAGTTTCAACCAACTTGAAATCGG